GCGCACCAGTCGATCGGCTGCAAGGCGGTGATGCTGTTCGGGAACGAGGAGCAGAAGAAGCGCTGGCTGCCCCACCTCGCGCAGGACTGGGTGAGCGCGTTCTGCCTTTCCGAGCCCAACGTCGGGTGCGACGCGGGCGGGCAGGAGACGCGGTGCGAGCTGTCCGAGGACGGGTCGCACTACATCCTGAACGGCGAGAAGAAGTGGGCGACGAGCGGCGCGCTGTCCGGCCTGTTCACCGTGATGGCGAAGCAGAAGATGGACAACGGCAAGGACCGCGTCACGGCGCTGGTGTGCATGCCGGACATGGAAGGCATCGATATCTTCCAGAAGAACCGCAGCAAGTGCGGCATCCGGGGGACGTGGCAGGCGCGGATCAAGTTCAACAACGTGAAGGTGCCGAAGGAGAACCTGCTCCACACGGAGGGCAAGGGCCTGAACGTGGCGCTGACGTGCCTGAACTACGGCCGTTGCACGCTCAGCGCGGGGATGCTGGGCGGGGCGAAGCGGGCGATGGACCAGTCGATCAAGTGGGGCCGGACGCGGTTCCAGTTCAACCGCCCGCTGGCGGACTTCGATCTCGTTCAGCAGAACATCGCGACGCAGAGCGCGCTGTGCTACGCGATGGACGCGATGCTGTACACGACGACGGGCGTGCTGGACCGGCACGACCCGGACATCATGGTCGAGACGGCGATCTGCAAGACGTTCTGCTCGGAGATGGGGTGGCGCTCGGTGAACTGCGCGATGCAGATCATGGGCGGCGAGGGGTACATGACGGAGAACGAGGTCGAGCGGATCTTCCGGGATTCGCGGATCAACCTCATCGTCGAGGGGGCGAACGAGGTCATGCAGTCGTTCATCTTCGCGTACGGCGGCAAGGCGCTGGCGGAGCAGATGATCGGCGTGAAGGACCGCGTCGCGTGGGAGAAGGACGAGAGCCTGTTCGAGAACCTGGGCCGGATCACGCCGAACATGTTCAACTCGACGGTGATGAGCAAGGCGATGCCGCTCGGGGCGGAGATCTTCTTCGGGATGAAGAAGGCGGCGCCGCGGATCACGAAGCTGCACGCGTCGCTCTCCCCGTGGGCGGAGAAGGTGGGCGAGCTCGTCCGCGAGCACTCGTACCAGTTCAAGATCGCCTCCAAGGTTCACGAGGAGAAGATCATCGAGCGTCAGGTGGTGCAGGCGCGGGTCGCGGACGTCGCGATCTACCTGCACGCGATGATCTGCACGCTCTCGCGCCTGGACATGCAGATCCGCGCGGGCGAGGACGGGAAGGAGTTCGAGCGCGACCGGGCGTCGGCGCTGCACTTCCTCGAATTGGCCGAGCTGTGGATCCGCGAGAGCTGGCGTGCCCTCAAGCGGAACGCGGACGACTCGATGCGGGCGTGCGCGGCCGCGGCGATCGCGTTCAACGACGACCTGCCGAACGACCGTTTCTCGATCCCCGAGAAGAGCCCGACGGCGAAGGGGACGGGGCGGGCGATCGACCAGGGGCCGATCAAGCAGTTCCCGGGCGAGATGCATCAGCATTCGTAAGATATGAGCGCTCCGTACGGCCCTCCGGGCCGACACTCGCTCTCTCGCGCCCGCGCGGGAGTGAATCCCGCGGGGCTTGGCGGATACCCATGGTGGGCGCTCCGTACGGCCCTTCGGGCCGACACTCGCTCTCTCGCGCCCGCGCCGGAGTCAATCCGGCGGGGCTTGGCGGGCGGTCAACGGGCTTCTTTGCATTCGGGCGGTGAATGGTCCGCTCGGGTGCCGCGAACCACTACACTGGGGAGCCCATTGAGCGGCTCTCCGCTCCCCGCACGCCGGGAACGGCGCGCCCGGGTTGGACATCGATACGAACGGGCCTTTTCGGCCTTTCTGGAAGGAACGACATGCCACGCACGACGGCGTATAGCGCGAAGATCGAGAACATCTCGATCCTGGACGAGAACGGGAAGCTGGACGAGAAGCTCGCCCGGGGCGGGCTCAAGGACGAGGACGCGGTGTTCCTGTACGAGCAGATGTCGATCTGCCGTCATTACGACGAGATCGCGTTCAAGCTCCAGCGGTCGGGCCGCATGGGCACGTACCCGCAGAACAAGGGCCAGGAGGCGATCTCCGGGGCCGGGCTGGCGCTGAAGCAGCACGCGCCGGGGTCGTGGCTCGTCCCGTGCTACCGCGAGAACATCGTGCTGTTCCTGAACGGGCTGCCGATGGAGAAGATCCTGCTCCACTGGATGGGCGACGAGCGGGGGAACCAGATCCCCGAGGACGTGAACGTCACGCCGATCTCGATCCCGATCGGGACGCACCCGCTGCACGCGGTCGGGCTCTCGTGGGCGCTGAAGTACCGGGGCGAGAACGACAAGGTGGCGGTCTCGTTCTTCGGGGACGGGGCGACGAGCGAGGGCGACGTGCACGAGGCGATGAACTTCGCGAGCGCGCTCAAGACGCCGTCGATCTTCTACTGCCAGAACAACTCGTGGGCGATCTCGACGCCGCGGTCCAAGCAGACGGGCTCGGAGACGTTCGCGCAGAAGGGCCTCGCGTACGGGATGCACTGCGTGCAGATCGACGGCAACGACATCTTCGCGTCGTACCGGATCATGAAGGAGGCGATCGCCCGGGCGCTGAAGGACGGGATGCCGACGTTCATCGAGGCGGTGACGTACCGCCTGGGCGACCACACCACGGCCGACGACGCGCGGCGCTACCGCGACGAGAAGGAGCTCGAGGGGTGGGTCGGCAAGGACCCGCTGATCCGCACGCGGAAGTACCTCGAGGCGAAGGACCTGTGGGACGAGAGCAAGCAGAAGGACCTCGACGCGCGGGCGAAGGAGCTCGTGAGCGGGATCGTGAAGAAGGCCGAGGGCATCGAGAAGCCGGTGACCGAGGACATCTTCGATTACACGTTCGTCGAGCTGCCAGAGGAGCTTCGCGTGCAGCGTGACACGATGCGGACGAGCAGCCTGGGGCAGCACCCGGAGCAGGCGGGGTTGAGCGTCTAAGAGGCATCAGGCACCAGCCATCAGGCATCAGTGAATACCTTGCGGGATGTATCCCCCGCCTTTGATAGAGAGCGATCAATGAGCAGTCTGACACTTGTGCAAGCGATCAACCTGGCCCTGGCGCAGGAGATGGAGGCGGACGACCGCGTCCTTCTGCTGGGCGAGGACATCGGCGTGAACGGCGGCGTGTTCCGTGTGACCGAGGGGCTGCAGCAGCGGTTCGGCGAGGAACGCGTGGTCGACACGCCTCTCGCGGAGTCCGGCATCATGGGGACGGCGATCGGGCTCGCGATGGGCGGGCTGCGGCCGATCCCCGAGATCCAGTTCGAGGGGTTCCTCGGGCCGGCGTACGACCAGCTGACGAACCACGCGGCCCGCTACCGCACGCGGTCGCGCGGGGCGGTGACGGTGCCGATGACCGTCCGCGTGCCGGTCGGCGGCGGCATCCATGCGCCGGAGCTGCACAGCGATTCGCCCGAGGCGATCTACGCGCACACGCCCGGCCTCAAGGTTGTGATGCCGAGCTCGCCGTACGACGCGAAGGGGCTGCTGATTTCCGCGATCCGCGACCCGGATCCGGTGATCTTCTTCGAGCCGAAGCGGATCTACCGCGCGTTCCGCGAGGAGGTCCCGGAGGACGAGTACACGGTCCCGATCGGCGAGGGCAAGGTCGTCGAGGAGGGGACGGACCTGACCGTCGTCTCCTGGGGCGCGTCGGTGCTCCAGTGCATCGAGGCGATGGATTCGCTGCCCGAGGACCTGTCGATCGAGCTGATCGATCTGCGGACGATCTACCCGTTCGACAAGGACATCGTCGCGGAGAGCGTCCGGAAGACGGGCCGCTGCGTGATCGTGCACGAGGCGCCGAAGACGGCGGGCATGGGCGCGGAGATCGCGACGGTCATCCAGGAGGAGTGCTTCCTGTACCTCAAGGCTCCGGTGCAGCGTGTGTGCGGCTTCGACACGGTGATGCCGTACTACAAGCTGGAGCTGGAGTACCTGCCGGACGCGAAGCGGATCAGCAAAGGGATCATGGAGTGCGCGGCGTATTGATCGCCGGGGACGCCTGATTTCCTCTCCGGAGGCGGGGCGTTTGCCCCGTCTGCTACAATAACACGGCTCAGGGCCCGCCCTGACTGAACCCAAACGACTCGACTCGAAACGGAATCATTGCGCGATGGCTGGACAGACTTCGACCGACCCGAACGTGTTCATTCTCCCCGACCTCGGCGAAGGGGTGCACGAGGCCGAGCTGATCTCGTGGAAGGTGTCGCCTGGCGAGACCGTCGAGGAGCACCAGGTGGTCGCGGAGATGGAGACGGACAAGGCGCTCGTCGAGGTGCCGAGCCCTCGGGACGGGGTGATCAAGGAGCTCTTCGGCGAGGTGGGCGAGATCCTGAAGGTGGGGAACGTGGCGTGGACGTACGAGGGGGCCGGGGAGGTGGCCGAGCCCGCACCGGCTCCGAAACAGGAAACGGCCCCCGCTGCTCCGGCGACTGAAGAGCGCGAGGACGACGGGACGGTGGTCGGGACGATGAGCGGTTCGCTCGGGGCGGTGACGAAGAGCGAGGGCAAGGCGCTCGCGACGCCGGCGGTGCGCCGCCTGGCTCGCGATCTGGGGGTCGATATCGACGCGGTGAACGGGTCCGGAATCGCTGGGCGTGTGACGGAGAAGGACGTCCGCGCGGCGAGCAACGGCGTCGCGGCGCCGGCTCCGAAGCCCGCGCCCACCCCCCCAACCCCCGCGGCCCCCGCTGCCGCTCCGGCACCGGCTCCGGCGAAGCGGCTCGCGACGACGGTGCCCTCGCAGAGCGTGGCGCCGCGTCCGAACGTGCTGGTCCCGTCCGGCGGGGACACGACGATCATCCCGATGCGCGGCGTGCGGCGCACGATCGCGAACCGCCTGCGCCAGAGCGTGGACATGGCGGTGCACTTCTCCGTGATGGACGACGCGGACGTCTCCGCGCTGGACAAGACGCGCAAGCAGCTCGCGATGGCGTCGGGCGAGAAGCTCAGCTACCTGCCGTTCGTGGTCTCCGCGGTGTGCCGGGCGCTGAAGGAGTTCCCGGCGCTGAACGCGCACGTGGACGACGAGAACGAGCAGATCCTGCGGTCGAACAAGGTGCACATGGGCATCGCGACGGACACGGAGCAGGGGCTGAGTGTCCCGGTGATCCCGGACGCGGACGCGCGGGGCGTGCTCGAGATCGGGCGCGAGATCACGGCCCTGGCGCAGATGACGCGGGACCGGAGCGTCCCCGGCGAGCGGCTCAAGGGCTCGACGTTCACGATCTCCAACGTCGGCTCGTACGCGGGCCGGTACGCGACGCCGATCATCAACTACCCCGAGGTCGGCATCCTCGCGGCGGGTCGCGTGCGCGACGGCGTGGTGGCGGACAACGGGGCGATCCGGGTGGCGAAGCTGATGCCGCTGAGCCTGACGTGCGACCACCGTTCGGTGGACGGGGCGGAGGCGGCGCAGTGCCTGGCGTTGATCATCGAGCTGCTGAAGCGGCCGGATGAGTTGTTGACGCCGGTTCGGGGGTGATGGGAGAGGGGCAATGGGGAATGGCCAGTGGGCAATGGGGTGAGGTCGGCAGGTGGGCAGTCGGCAGTCGG